TTTAGGGCCATTAATTCTGACCACGTGCCTGAGAGGCAAGGTGGATGGCCCTGGGACAGAGGCTGTTCATCACTATGTGCCGGGGGGCAGGATGTCTTCAGGGCACACTGCGGGCCCTCATCTTCCTAGGCGTCCTACTGGGCATGGTGGTGCCCTCGCCTGCAGGCGGCCGCGCCAACAGCACACTGCTGGACTCGAGGGGCTGGGGCACCCTGCTGTCCAGGGCACGCACTGGGCTCACTGGAGAGATGGCCGGGGTGAGCTGGGAGAGTGGCTATCTGGTGGGAATCAAGCGGCAGCGGAGGCTCTACTGCAACGTGGGCATTGGCTTTCACCTCCAGGTGCCTCCCGACGGCCGGATCAGCGGGACCCACGAGGAGAACCCCTACAGTGAGTGGCAGCTGCAGCCAGCTGGGAAGCTGGGCACTTGGGCTGAAACATGAAGGGGACTTGCTCTGGTGCATAGGGTCCAGAAATTGTGAAGGGGAAGACATGGTGTGCTCCCCTTGGATGCCCATAGCAAAGCCCCCTCCCCCATGCTCACTTTGACCCTGCCTGGGTGCAGACCCAATACACCGAGATCCAAGCATCCTGGTGTCCTTGGCCATGCCACCGCAGAGCTCTTGTGGCACCAACTGCTTCAGCATTACAGGCCCATCTGTGGCCATATAAGACCAGTGGGACCCATTAGCCTGGGAATTCACAGGCAAGGGTGGGGAGAACAAGTGAGGGTCCTTGTACCAAATTAGACACAAACTTATTTTTATTTAGCTTCCCTTTTAGAGAAGGAGAAGCAAGTGCTTTGCAAAATCTCCAGCTGAAGCACATTCTTCTTTTTATTCCAACCTGCCCCCTCTGTCTCCAGGCCCCTGTCCTACAAGCTGGTGGGTTGCTGCATAAATAGGCTCTGCCATCCAAGAGGGCATGAGGGCTGCAGGATGCAGGCAAGCCATCAGCCACTGTGCGGCTGCAATGTTTGCAAGATTAGATGAGCAGAGACTTGTCAAAACATGTAGAGTGTGTGTATATATATATATATATATATACATTTTTTAATTACTCATAATTCATTTTTCTACTCAAGGCAAGGACCTCATGTGATTAAATCACTGAAATTTTTTTTACAATAGATACCTAAGTGGCTGCTGCAATCGCTAACTCTGAGGTCAGAAAGCTCCCTTGCAGAACTGGATTTTTGATGATACAGTGCATGACGTGCCCAGTCTAGCAGCCGCATCTGCTGAAGTGGGGTCCAGGACAGAAGGGTCAGAGGAGCAGGAGACAGGCTCAGATGCCTTTGCAGGGTCCCCTCAGGTTGACGTCCCACTCTGATTTATTTGCACAAGCCTTAGCTAACGTGACCTCCCGTTTCTTTGTCAGGCCTGCTGGAGATCTCCACAGTGGAGCGAGGTGTGGTGAGTCTCTTTGGAGTGAAAAGTGCCCTCTTCGTTGCCATGAACAGTAAAGGAAGATTATACACCACGGTGAGTTCCCCAGGGCGGGGGAAGCTCCAGGTTGTCTGAGGCCTGCAGCTTACACAATTGAAGGAAATAATACTGCATCTCAAGAGAGGCGAATGTATATGTGGAATGAGAACAGAAAGTGTCTGAGGAAGGGGCTGGCACAGCTGAT